TTTTTGAAAAAGTTCAAAATTAAATATGGGTAAATTTCACTAAACATCCTCAATCATGTAGATTTTTTGAGTTACTACATAATTGTGCAACTTTGTGGCTCAATTATTGAGTTTAGTGACTCTATTATTAGGTTAATTTTGTGACTTTATTATTGGGTTGTGTGCATAGAGATTGATAAATAAGCACAACTTATTATGACTCTTTTAACTTTTTAAATATGTAAGGGAAACCAATAATGCCAGTCAATTTAAAAGCTAAGTTAGTTTATGGTACATTTCATCGGACTTATAAATATGATGACAATATTAAGAAAAATATGTTGTTTTTGGTAAAATTTTTGATAAATTATTATAATAAGTATTCTATTGAAATTCATTCATTTTATTTGCCAATCAATGATATAACTTTTTTTCTTATGTGATTTAGGATAGTATTGAAATTCATTCTACTTTATAAAAGTTCAAGTAATTTTTGTCGCTTCTTATGTTTTTGATTGTCCTTTTGTGTTTATTTGTAATTTTCTAAATTAAAGGGTCTGCTTATGATTTTTTTTAGATTTTTAGCGGCTATTTGTAACTTTAAATTTTTTAGGGTGCTATTTTTCATTTTCAGGGGCTAGTGGATTTTTTTTCATAATTTTCATATGTTTTCTAATGTTACAATTTTAGGAGGTTTTTTGTAATTCTCAAATTTTAAAGGGTTTGTTTGTACTTTTTAAACTTTTAGGATATTGTTTATAAATCTGAGACGGTCCAGTACTCCACGAGAGGAATGAAATGGGATGGATGGTAGAGGGCTGCCTGCGCCCAAAAGCCATGATTCACTTGTCCCCTTGTGTATAAGGACCTCATGTCGTACAACCGCCGCGACTCCTGCGCTATATTATGAAATTTTTTTAGGGTCATTTATAACTTTAGTATTTTTAGATTCTTTTTTTTTCATTTTTTAGATATTCAAGGGTTTTTTGTAATTTTAGATTTCTAGGAGGCTATATGTCTTGTTTTTATTTTTCAAGCATTTATTTGTACTATGTTGATTTGTCAATGGGTTTTCTACAATTTTAGGAATTTAAAGAGGGTTGTTTGTAGCTTTTGAATTTTTATACGTGCTAATTATAATTTTAGTTTTTTTAGGTAGCTATTTGTAATTTCTTATATTTTTAGGTTGGTTTGTAAAATATTGTTTAACTTGCAAACAAGAATAATATGAGGGGTATATGTTGTCTTTTAGGGTTAATTTTAGTCAATGTAGAATTTGGTGTAACATCATTTATGAAGGTTAAATGCAAAAAAATCTAAATGTCTTGGGTGTTTTCTAAAATTATTAAATTTACCGAGGATTTAGTGAAAGTTGTAAATATTTTGTGAGTTTAGTGCTAAATCGAAGTTATGGGTGGTTTATTAAAATTTACTTTTTAAATATTTAAAGAGAGGCATGTGATAATTTTTTAGACTTTTGTAATTATTCAATTACAATTTGTTTAGAATCAACAACGATTTGAATATTAGAAATTTTTTACTTTTTTATAGATAGAATTTTCTAATTACTGGTATTAATAGTATTGATGTAATGAGACTTCTTAAGAACATAAAATTAGATGGACACATGTCATATTCTAATAAGATTGGTAATTAGTTGCATAGTTTGATCTCTTTTCAGATCAAATTTTGGTTAAGATTTTACCTTTAGAATATTTGAATATTTATACTATTAAGTAGGATAAACTAGAATGTAATATCTAAAAAGATTAAGGATAATATTAATTATGAAAAGTTTTTTCCAAAGTGTATAATATAATATAATATAATATAATATGATGATTTGTTATCCACAAACAAGGCATGTGCTCACACTAGCTTGCTTTATGAATGAGACTATATATTATAGGTGCTTACATGTTATCTAGACACACATTGAGATAGACAATTACAATTGGATCGATTCCTTATGGAGGTCACAGAAGATGAAAAGATTAGCAGCGATGAGTTTATGAGGGCCGAAGCAGTGCTATGGACTCACATGTTCAATCACATCGACTCCATGTCTCTCAAATGTGCCATAGAGCTCGGCATCCCCGATGCTATCCATCTCCATGGAAAGCCAATATCCCTCTCCGAACTTCTCTCAGCCCTCTCAATATCTCCATCCAAATCGCCTCACCTTCGTCGGCTTATGCGATTGCTTACTCATTTAGGCATATTCGCCGAAAATGAGGCTAATACGTACTCTCTCACCTCAGTTTCTATTGTTCTTGTTGGTGCAAGCAAGGCCGGTGCGACAAGCTTATCTGGTTTCGTACTGACGATGCTTCATCCTGTTACTTTGGGGCCGTTTCAATCCATGAGCACCTGGTTCAAAAGCGAGGGCGAGGGCGCCACGCCCTTCTCTGCTCATCACGGCTGCGACGTATGGGGGGTAACCCAACGTAACCCGAGCTATAATGAGATTTTCAATGAAGGAATGGCGAGCGACGTGAGGGTGTTGATGAAGGTTCTGCTCAAGGACTGTAAGCATGTGTTCGAAGGGCTTAAGTCGTTGGTGGACGTCGGTGGAGGAACTGGGTCTACGGCTATGGCTATCGCTGAGGCTTTTCCGGCTATAAATTGCTCTGTTTTGGAGCTCCCTCAGGTTGTGAGCACAGTGAAGGAGAAGGGGTCCGTAGAGTTTATTGCTGGCGACATGTTTGACCATGTCCCCCCGGCTAATGCTGTGCTGCTCAAGGTAATTAACGCGGTAAATCTCAATTTTCATCACAACTTCAGATCGAGTTCGATCGGTGAGGTTCCCCTACATTTATCATACTTTTTTCCCTTTAAATTTGCCTCAATTCAATCTCACGTGTATATATATATATATATGCAGTGGATCCTTCATGACTGGACTGATGAGGACTGTGTTCGCATATTGAAACGTTGCAAGGAAGCAGTTCTTTCTAAAGAAAGCGATGGCGGCGGCGGGGGGGGTGCTGCAGGGTTTACCAACTATAAGATAACACCAGCTCTGGGCCTGCGTTCGGTCATTGAACTCTATCCGTGACGTGTATTGTGCGTTTGTCAATCTTGAAGTTCCAATCATTGTTATATCCGTGAAGATCGAGTGAATATTGAATAATTGAGGTTGATAAAATTAATATGAAAGGGTTTACGATCTTATACCTCAAATCTTTATTAATTCTATAACGACTGGAATCAGGTGAATTTGCAAAGCAATAATAATAACTTGTCTTCAAAATGAAACAGATTAAAGAGGTAGAGAGGAGGACAAGATTATAATTTTATTTTATTCATTGAAGACAACTTCATTTGAAATACGACTTATCTTCAAAAGTTAGCCGCTGAGTTTTAATTATTTATTATCAAATTGTTCTCAATGACATGTCGACGTAGATGTTCCTATACTTTCAAAAGTGAATCACATGACTTGCATGTGACAAAAGTGAATCACATGACTTGCATGTGACTCTTTTGAATCACCACATTCAAACTCAATTGCCAGATAAAGTAGTCAGTGCATACTAACAATCATTAATATCTTCTGCGAATGTTGTGCTCCTAATGAAACTGCTAACAAAAATTATATGTGTACGTCCACACTTATTTTATGACATATATAATGTTGTGCGCAGCGAAAATTTCGGTAGCACCTCTGGTGCACAACAAGAGAAACAAAAGAGTAAGATCACAACTAAATCCATATTTCACAAAGTAAACAAGAACCGAAAGTGATATATCTCAACAAAGTGGGATATGCACTCTTCCTCTCATCAGTTCTAGGACTGACTTGTCAAGGGAACCTAACAAGCTATTACAAATCACAGCAAGAAAAACTATTTTTACGTGGTTTGGCAAGTTGCCTACGTCCACAGGGTAAGGAGGGGGGAGATATACTATTAGAGAGAAAGAGAATACAAATAGGGTTTACAATCACACAGGGTCTCACAAATAAAACCCTCAAACAAGCTCTCAATTTCTCTCTCAAAAGGATGCTCAAACTCTAAGAACAACTGCACAAAACTCCTCTTCAAAGTCGGCGTCTTTTCCCTTGCTATAGCCTTTTTCGCCCCTGCTTTTTCCCTTTTGCACTTGTACGCCGTTCTCCCCCTATTTTGCACAAAACCCTAGGAAGTGGAACCTAAAGATATATATAGTGCAGAATATCGGGTGGGCCAGGAAACGAAAAAACTGCCCACGTTCACAAACCTGAACGTGTGTGTGGCCCCTAATATCTCCTCACACGTCCAAGATCCTTATCTCATCACGTGGGTGTGACCCATTATCTCCTCACGTTCACAATTCTTCACCTAGGCGAAGTTTTCCCAAAACTGACCCAACACCAACCAAACCAAATAATACGGTGTATCTTCTCTTCGGAACTTAGCAATCCTCATGGGAGCTTGAGGATAGATGATTCTCATGATAGCATAAGAATAGAGGTGTCAAACAGTACAAGGGAACGCAGGAGGAAGCGTGGAACGAGACGACGAGCAGAAGAATCGAAATATCTAGTTTTCAGCCTGTGAGTCGACTCATAACAGTCATGAGTCGACTCATCAGGTTGAGTCGACTCATGACTGTCATGAGTCGACTCATCAGGTTGAGTCGACTCATGACTGTCATGAGTCGACTCATCGCTGGTTTTGAGTTTTGTCCAGTTTCTGACGAGTCGACTCATCTCAGTCATGAGTCGACTCATCGATGGTTTCCTGATTCGTTTGGGTTTCTGTTCACACGAATTCCTATTGGTTTTGGGTCTGGTTATTTACCAAATTTCCATCCACGTTTGTACATCTATATAAGTGATTGTTTTAGGGTTTAAAACAATCAGAGAGTTTAATCAAGAGAGATTAAAATTGTAATTGAGATTTGGAGAGCATGTTCTTTAATTCTAGAGTGAGATTGTGAGAGATTGTAAATTGCATACTCATAATCTAGAGAATGTATTTTCCTTCACCCAAAACCTGAGTTATTCTTGTGTTCTTATTGTTTTCTCCTCTACCCACCTTTGATAATTCCACGATCAAAGATGCTCGCACGACAACTCGTATCACCAAATATCTCACTTGTTGCGTTCAGTACGAAGTAAAACAATTTACGACAACGGACTCAATCCACAATAAGCCGAGAACCCAAATAAGAATACGAACAAACTCCAAACGTCGGTATCTACTCCTAACGGTTGCATCATAAATGACTGCCTACGTATCCCATTGCTCAGGGAATCAAGCCTTCACGTAGTTCACCCAAATAGCCACGAACGACCTCAATCAACTAGAAGAGTTCGCAACCCTTCTCTAACATCACCAACAAATCTGTGGTTGATAGCTCTCCTAATGGCCACAAAGCGAAACAAACCAAACACCTCCTCCTAAGGTGAACCAACGACCATAACCAAATCTGAACTATGTCCACCAGCTGTACTCGAATCAACCAACTCATCATCTGTATCCAAAACAACATGATTCCTAATCTGTGTCACCTTAGCTGGAATCCCAAACAATACAGTATGATCAGGAATATGTGGAGTAATCTCTACCCAATGTGAAACAGCATCATCCTCCACCCGCTGTGATATCCCAATGACCTGATCAACACTCTCCGCCTACCGAGAGTCAAATGTGACATACCTGCTCAGAACAAAATCAGAGTCTCCCAACTGATAACCAAACAAGCCTCTGAATCCTTGATGCGGCATAAACATGTACCAAAAAGGTTGCAAGTGCACAACCGTGTCAAGTTATTGTATTTAAGATATCGATCCCACAAGGAAGGTGTTTTGTAGGAGAAAATATAAAATCGGTTCTTATGTTGTGTGCGTGACAAGTAGGAGTGATGAGTGAATGTGATTGTGAAGAGATTGAGAGAGTGAAAATGGTGTGTGAATAGGTGCAAAGTGTAAGTAGAGTGGATTTGAAAAAGAATGAGTATGATCAATAAGGTGAGAAGGAAAAATGAATAAAATCAAGAAACAAAAATAAAAAAAATCAAGAATGACGAACAAAATTCAAAAATAAAAGAAAATACAAAAAATTAAAGATGGTGGATTTAATTATAGATATGGGTAATCTAAAATTGAACCCACTTCTTAGAAAAGGGTGATTCCCTAGAGGGTTCTAGCCTAAAGGCGAATCAAACAAAAT